AATATAAATTTTCATTACGAGAAAGTTTAAAAACAAAATCGAAAGAAAAATCCATAATAATACCGACAGCAAAATCGATAAAAAATATCGATAACAAAATTGATAAAAATATCGATCATTATATCGATAAGTTCCGAAAATAACGATAACGAAATCAATAGGAATATCGATAAAAATTTCTATAACAAAATTGATAAAAATATCGATGAAAAAAACCGACAACATATCGATTATGTATTATATCGATAAGTCCCGAGAATCCCGAAAATCTCTAAACTCCTGAAATAGTTCCCAGATTCAGATACACAGAGCCTCTATCTATATCCTTTTCTCTACAACTACCTTTATTTTAATCTTTCTTCCTCTATCTTCATCTATATTGTTATCGGTATCCGCATCCTCATCTTTTTCTTTATATTTATCTTTGTTTTTATTTTTATGTTTATCATATTCTTCTTATACCTATCCCCTTCACCTTTTCCCTTTATAAGTAAAGTGCTTAAAAGTGGTCTTCATTTTTGCTTTTATCTTTACCCAACTTTGTTTTTGTTTTTATTTTTACCTTTGCCTTTATCCTTTTCTTTATCTATGTACGTACTCACCTTTACTTTTAAAAGTTTTCGCGTGTTATGCATACATGTGTTCATACATACTTATATGTATGTACATATATAATATGTATAGACACAAGAATGATAGAATACAAGATTGCGCCGATCAGAGAGGATTTTTGAGAATAACTTTTGTGTGACGTCACACTGGTGCAATTGCGAGAGAGGAATGCCAAAACGTGAGCAAGAATGGAAGAAGAAGAAAAAATGTTGCAAGGAAAATGTAAACAAGTTGCACCAGTGTGACGTCATGCAAACAACGATTCTGTCAAATTCGTTAAGAGAGGAATAGCGGTCCGAGATCGGCGCAACCTTTGTATTCTCTCAATCGTGGTATAGACATACATATACTACGTTTATACGCATGCATAAGTCGCTTTAATTCATTTCGCCGCGATTCAAAACATACGTATAAACTGAATTTCAATTCGCTTTGAAACAGCGAAGTGTTTTGGCTCACACTCCATTTCAAATCGGTAGTTTATTTCTCCAGACAGTTAGAAAGAGTGTATAAACACCGCTCTCACTCGAAGCGATTTGGAGATCAGCTGTTCCGCTCAAATTCCAAATAATCACATCAGTATTTAAAAGCTAATTAATAATAATCGTTCTTTTTCTTTGTCACGATTTTATAATGCCGAATAAAACTAGATTTTTATCACTTTCCATTATGTTAACTTATAAAATTTCAAATGAAAGCAGCTGATTTTGTTTACTTTTGAAGACGGTTACTTTGATGCCGATATAAAGCCGTAAGTATAAACACTAGAGCGAAATGTGTACGGTGCCAATGCGATTTCAATTAAGTCCATTATTCTGTGCGTATAAACGTAGTAATAGATTACTAAAAAATCCACATTAACTGCAATCAACATATGTACGCATGTATGTATTTACATATGTACATACGCTGCGATTAGGCTGTAAATATTGCGCCTTCTGTTTATTAAAAGCCGAAATATGTACTTACGCACACATACATACATACATTTTGTCTCCTTCCCTCACTTCCAGCGCATGCACGTGTTTGCAAAACGATGGCGAAGTGATTTTGTATGGGAAATCATTTATGCCCATATATTTGAATCAAACAAACATATACCAAACGAAAGGAAAACTCGTGAGTTTTTGAGTAAGGAAAAAAAAAACAAAATAATTGGAGCGGTTTTCGAGCATTTTGGTAATAAAAAAAATTTGCAAACTTTTTGCCTTAAAATGCTCAATATTTGTTGAATTTATATACAATCTGTACACGATAATATTTCTATTGCTCCAAAGAATCTATATCAAGAAAATTTAAGTTATATCAGCAAATCATAAGCTGCTGGAGCACTTAAAAGGCTCAGAATTGACTCTAAAATAAGGCAAAGTTTACCGTTGTTTTTACGATAAAAACCGAATTGGTTACTTACAAAAATGAATCTGTTGATAGGTTTGGAATTTTATCTTTGAAATGCCATGCCTTTTTTTGAAATCGCTTCATTAGTTCTCGTGCAATAAGCCTTTTCCTGAAGCTCTAAAAATTACAGCCACAACATTTCAGCATAGCCTCCATATCGAAACGTAGGACGTATTCTACGTCAAAAATATTTATATTTTTTTTTGAGTTAAGGGAAAATGAAAGCGAAAGTTTTGTAAAATTGCAAAAATAGCCCGGAACGAGTTCCGCTAAACCTTGTCCAATTTGATTTGTAGAAAAATTGGTTTTGGCGATGTGCCATCATTCAGTATTATTTTTCGTTCATGATTGTTTAGTTTGTTTTAAAATTTTTTGCTTTTTGTAAAATGTGTACGGAGAGTTGTACCAATTTTATATCAACACGCGCCAGTTAGCTAAAGCGCTCTAAAATGCTTAATAACTCGGAATTGTTGCTATTTTTTATTAATGATTTCTATGTAAAGGACCTTTTATTTCGATTGACATAACTAAAAACAATATTTAATATGACTACCATTAAGAAAAATTACAAAAAAATGTTTGTTTCTAATTTTCACCGCAAAAATGGGATATTTTCGCAAACTTCGATGATGGTATCGAACAGCCCACACAAAAATCTATAGAAACTATATTTTCGATTTATTTTTCCCATTTTGTGTCTGCTTCCCACCGAGTCAAAAAGTAGCTTGTTTTGCACTGCTCAGGGTGCCTGTGACATTTAACGTGAATCGCCCCATATGTGACTTATGTATGTGGGCTTGTTCGAGTTGCAATCACAACCGCAGTGTTGCGCGAATTATTAAAGTATCGCGTTCTGTATGAATTTCTAGCAATCTATTATCAATTGGGCAGTTGCAACAATGTTGCCATTTTTCATCAGTACGGCAGTAATGCCGCTTTTATTACGTGCCTCGAACAGGCCCTGTATGTCGGTACTATTCAGAGGAATTTTTTGTTTGGCAAACAAGATGTCAGTTTGCGACGCATATGTATGTTCTTGCTTATACTTTCAGTTAATACAGCTCGAAGAATAGAAGTTATTTTTTTTTTTTCAAAATTATTTTTCAAAAAATAATTATACAAAAATATCCACACAAGCGTAATAGTTAGCGTAACCGTGTTTTGTTCATATGTTTAAATAATTCTCCCTATAAATTAAAGCTTGCAACAAATGTAGACTTGTGGCCCACTAATCAAGTTTTCTATGTCGAGCACATGAAGGTTAAAACGGAAAACCTACCTGTTTTACATATATGCCATTTAAATAAATACTTACGAATTATTTTCGAAATAAAGAGGATGCAGAATTATTGTTTTCAAAAATTTTTGTGCCAGCACTTTGGTGGTTTATTCATACTTATTTGCTGCGCCTATTGTGCGCGCGTTAACCAACAGAAAGTATCGCTTGCGCCTAGATAACTGATAACTAAGTACAGATATGTATATGCAAATGAACTTAGAACCATAGCTCTAGCGATGCTAGTGGTAAGGCATGGAACGATCGTGCTGTTCAATATATATTTTTTATTTTTTTCTGAGTCCAAAGTTATCTTTTAAAGCCCATAAGCGCTCACAATACTTTCCGGGTTCGTACGTTTGTAATACACATGTTCGTATGTACGTACGTACGTATGTATGTATGTATACATATAATACAATATTACATTATATGAACAATGATCTAAGTACATAGGTGAATGTTTTACAGTTACTATAATTGATATATATATATATATGTATGTATTATTTAATAGCTAGGAGAAAATTACAATATTCTTTGTTTTAAAATTACATGTATTTAAGTATATTAATTACTGCTTTTAAGTACATACAATACGCTTAATTACTTCTCTCATGCACCGCTATAAATAAACTAAGGAATGGAATGCATACACAAGTACTTTAGCTTAGAGAAACAGTTTTGGAGCAGATGGCTTAAGTTTTTCTGGTTTACTTTTTTAATAGATTTTTTTTTTATATTTAGTTTATTCAACTTTTAAAATTGTGAAAATTTTTTAGCTTAAAATATATTTAAATTTAGTATAGTAAATACATTTTTTAAGGATGTTTTAAGGACTTTTTGTGTTCACTAATATCTCGGCTTAGTTCACAGATTTACGCTTGGTTAGTAACTTTTGCAAAGTGTTTACGTATTAAACTAGTTAAAATAAAATTAAGATTTTGTTTATGAATGAAAGTATTTTGTTTGTTGCGGAGAAACAAAAAAAAAAAAATAAACTAATACAAATTAAAAACTCGTACAATAACAAATAACAATTACTCACTGGTTCAGTAGGTACACATACAAGCTTAACACATAAAATTTAACTAAAAGTAAAAAGGAATTAAATGTTGATATGCTTTGATTTCACCCCCAAATAGGCGATTGCATACAAAAATACGCTGCTTACATATGGCCTAGCATGTATGTATGTATGTCTAAAATTTTTTCTATGAACAGCTTAAACTTTATAAGGCTTGCGTAAGGCTTAGTATTTTATTTTGTTTTGAATTTCTTTAAGCTGAAAAATGTTTTTTCTAATATTTATGTTTCAATTGAGGCATTGGCGGCGGTGTTGGTTTTAATTGATTGCGTTTATCATTTCAATTAAATATGTTTTATGTAATATTTTATTTTTTTTAATTTTTAGTTATGCTAGTTTAAGCAAATTTTTATTATTAATAACAACTAAAGTCCTTTGGATTTGTTTGTGCTCGTTCTTCTTTGCTGTTTTTTGTTTTGTTTTGTGTTTTAAATGTATTCACTTTTTTATATCTTCTTCCACTATCTGCATTTTGTGCGCTTAATTGCTAATAGTTGCTTGTTGCTAGGTTTTCTTTTGTGCTGTTTGCTGTCTTTTCACTTGTTTGCTTTGCTATTTTCCTATCAGCTCCATTTTGACTTCCTTATTATGTTTTTTTTTTGCTTTACATTTTCTTTAGGCATACTTCTACTTGTTTTTGGGCAAATGTCGTTTCATATGCAATGCCAAGTGATCGGAGCGCGCAAAACTTCGCTCGCAGACAACGCATTTGAAGGGTTTGGCGCCGGTGTGTTTGCGATAGTGACGCGTCAGTTCATCGGAGCGCGCAAAACGCCATTCACACTCGGGCCATTGGCAGGTGTAGGGTTTCTCGCCTGAAATGAGAATAATGAAAGAAATTATTGATTAGTGTTAAGAATACATTTTGTATAATATAAGAACTGTGATTTATAGTACAAATTCAAGTTCAAGTTTTTAATTTAGTTTTAAAACAGGTGGCAACTCTATTCAAAAACCAAAAAAAATCTACATGATCATATTAAAGATGTCTAAACATCCTTGCGTTTGACTATTTAAACTTGTGTTTATTTAATTAAATTTGACTTTACAAACGCGTGGGAACCCTCTTCAAAACATTTTCATACTAGAACCTTATTTAACTACATACATACTCAAAGTGCCATTTTCCTTAACTCAAGTAAAATTAAATTTTTTAAATAGGTGGCAACCCCATACTTGTGGGCAGAAATTAAGTATTTTCAAAACCATTTCCGTTTATACCCATATTGTAATAATTAATTTAGTTTAATTGACTCTAAATTTTAAACAGGTGGCCACGCTTGTAAAGGACTAAATTAATATTCTTAATTTTAAAGCTAAAGGTTTTCGTTTTCACCCATATGTTAATTTTTCAGATAGCTTGCGAATTATTAATTTTAATTTGACTTTTCCAATGCGTGACAACCCTCTTAAAAATATTTTCACTCTACAACCTTATTTAACTTTTTTCGTGTGGCACTCATAGCGAGAGACATATTCCAATTACCTATTTCTCTTAATTTGAGTAAAATTTGATTTTTGAAATAGGTGGCAACTCTGTTATATGTAGGTTAGAAATAAAGCCTTTTCAGAACCTTTTCGATTCATATGCATATTGTAATAATTCATTTATTTAATCGAATTTAATTTTTAAAGAGGTGCATTCTCAATAAAATTCTACAATTTCGAACTAACGGTTTCTCAAAAATATGTCGTTTGACACCCATATGTTAATTTTTCAGATAGCTTGCGAATAATTAATTTAAATTTCGATTTCCAGACGGGTGACAACCCTTTTAAAAATATTTTCAAACTACAACGTTGTAAGATTCCTGACATCAATTTGTAATATAATTTTCAAACAAATAATTCCTTTAATTTAAGTTGAATTTGATTTTTTAAACAGGTGGCAGCTCTTCTACATGTGTATGGAATTGATTTTATACTTATATCTCCAATACAAAGTTCCGATACTCTATCACAAATATTTCCTGAGATAAATACGCAAGATGAAAAATTCCTTTTGTATGGTAGGTGCTACGCCCCCTTGTCTAATCGAGATTAAATCTACCCTTTACTTTAAGCTGGCCTAAATGACCTCAGTGTACAAAATTTCATGGTAATCGGGATTTATAGATTAAGTAAAAGTAAAAGTAATGTAAAGTAAAATAAAGTAATAAAGTAAGGATGTGTAAATTTTTTCATTTACGTTAAAGCTAGCAATGAAGAAAATCGACGGTAAATATTTAAAATAGTTATGAATGGTCAAACGAAAACGCGTGAGGATTTTTTCGAATGAAATGTGAACAGGAAAGAATGGCATCAAAATCGTCAAGGAATATTGAAAACAACAAAATGCCAAATAAATATTCCACCAAAATTTTAACTCACTAACTATTATGTAAACACTTAATGATTTCGTGAGGAATGCACTTTTTAATGTAGTCCACTCAAATGAGTTGCTATTCGTTACATTTATAAGCAATTTTCAAACAATTTTTCGAGAATGCTTAAAGGCTCATAATCAGCAAATACCAACGTACATAAATCACGCGGTGCACCACATTTCCATTAAACCAAAATGTTCTAAAGCTGCCGACAGAATTTGCAATGCAGCATTTCCATAAATTTTTGGTAACGAAAAACAAAACAAAAAAAAAAATTTTACAAAATATGACTGCTACAAATTGTCAATCTACAACTGCCGCCTCCACCGAAAACGCGCAGTGACACTTAGCATTCGAGTGTGTCGCAAAGTACATGCATGTACATATGAAACCACATTAAGTATGTATGTATGTATGGGGCGTTCCATACCAAAATGGACGGAGTTCACACTTCATGTGTTTGATTTGTTTCAAATTTTTAGAGTTGATGCATAAACATAAGTAATAAATAAATATGAAATTTGTGCTTGATTAATACATTTTTAAAAACTTCACAGCACAAAAAAATAAAAACAACACGATTTAATAGTTTTCCAAATATCTCGAGAACGGGCCAAGGCAAAAATACGAAAAAAAAATCACACGTACACTTATCAAAATTCTCTGTGAGAAGAAATATGTAAACATTTTTTTTCTGGAAAAATTTTTCAAACAAAATTGATACAAAAAAATAGTTTTTGAAAATATGCCATCTCAAAAAAAAATTGAAAAAAATCACAATGTTCTCTGAGTATTGCGTACTATTTAAGTATAGTATTACGGGGGTGCGCTCTACAATAATTTGAGTTATGATTTTTTTTTTTTACACCGAAGCTGAGTAAAATGAGTACATACAAATTTACAATTTTTTTATTTTTTTTGGAATTTTTTTGAGTATGCAGTTTTGTAGCCTATTAAATTCTAGTATAACAAAATTCAAGTTTTAAGCGATTGCAAAAAAAATCTAAAAAAAATTTAAAAAATTTGTAAATTTGTAATGTACTCATTTTACTCAGCTTCGGTGTAACAAAAATTCATGACTCAAATTATTGTAGAGTGCACACTATAATACTACACTTAAATATTATGCAATACTCAGAGCTGACATTGTGATTTTTTTAAATTTTTTTTTAAGATGGCATATTTCTAAAAACTAATTTTTTGTATCAAAAAATTTGTATGTGAAAAATTTGCCAAGAAATTTTTTTGTTAAATATTTCTTCTCATAGAAAATTTTGATGTGTATATGCGTGATTTTTTTCAAATTTTTTCCTTGCCCCGTTCTCGAGATATTAGGAAACTATTAAAACGTTTTGTTTTTGTTTCCGTGCTGTAAAATTTTTAAAAATGTATTATTCAAACTCAAATTTCAGTGAACTCCGTCCGTTTTGGTTTGGAACGCCCCGTATACATGTGTGTCTGATGACATATTTATGTATGTACGTGGCCGTGTAAACTACGCGTGCCACAAATGTCCCTTTCCATATGAAATTGCGCTTAAGAATGCACGTACTTATACATACATATGTAGTAAGTGTAGATACATTTGATTGCGAACACATATGCAACTTCTTGATTGCCAGCGATTTCGGTTGGCATCGCTGCTGATGACGATGGTGATGGCGATGGCGATGACGATGACGATGACGAAGGCGATGGCGGCATTGGCAGCAGTCACACCGACTGACAACAATTCTTGCCAGAAATTTATGATTTTTCAGTTATTTACCTGCGTACAATTGTCATAATTTAACATTGTTCATGCAACAGCACTACGAAAAGCAACAACAACAACTGCACTTCGCATTGCGTTACATTGCGGCATTGGGGAATTCAAGCATTCAAACATTCGAGCATTCGCGCATTCGAGCACACTCTGCAGCACATTTTTCATTCTTCTCGCCTTTGATGGAGAACTGCCACAAATTACTGGTTGCATGCGAAATGCGTTCGTGGCTGATATGACAGAAATGCCGCCGCCGTTCATTGCGCGTGCATTTATGAGCTGACAAAACAAATGACTGAACAATAACCAACAATTGTTGTTGACTGTAAGAAAATTATTAGAATTGCAGTAGTAGTTACTGTCGAAAATTGCCATTACCAGGCGGCCGAGCAGTTAGACAGCTTGTCAGTCAAATGGAACAATCAGCTAAATATGAGGCGAGCGAAAGATGAATGGAAAGAGGGTGAGGGAAGGAAAGCGAAGCGAAGCGTTGAAGTGGAGAGGGCAGCACAAGTCTGCCATCAACACTTGCACTGGCGTACCAAAAAACAGACACCAAAAAAATAAATAAAAAAGAAGAGAACTCAAAAAAATAAAAGATCATATTTCGTTTTGTTTTTGCGTGCATTGCAGATTGCAAGAATGCTCCACGACACGATTCGCCGTTTAATTATTTGAAATTCTTGAAATTGCCAACAAATTGAAATGCTAATCACCGACAAGCAATTACGCAAAGAGTTTTCCACAAGCGTTTCTTGTCTGCGTCTTCAGTGATCTTGCAGACTGACTGGTGCTTCCGCGAGCACAGTGTAGCATTTTTAAAAAAGTGAGTACATAATTAGAATTTTAAAAATATCAAATGGAGAGCAATTCCAAAGTTGATAAGAGTTAAATAAATTTTCAAAAGTGTTTACATGGCAGCGATTGCGATTGTGATTATGTATTTAGAATAAAGAATAAGCCGTTTACCAGTTTTAAGGGGAATTCCTTTTACCGGCAAAAGGCAATTAAGCAAGCGGGATTATATTCTTTTTCGAAAATTCAATAACGCCCGCGGGCTTTGTTTCTTTTTTTTTTAGGAAATAAAGCCCATGGGCGTATTTCCGCGGGCATTATTGCACTCCACCCACCTATACCAATAATTAGTTATGCGTTTATTGGTTAAAATGAACGTAAAAATTTTTAATATATGTAGTAAAAAAAATATAACAAAATAGCTTATTTTCAGTGTATCATATTATGAATATGCAAGATTTCTTCCTTGTCATAAATGTTCGCAAATACATGTGCCTAACGCTTTGCTTCCACTTATGTACGTCCGATTGAGGACGGCATGACAGTAATTCACACGCGACTGAGAGTCAGCAGGCATTAACTGCTGCAGTGTTTGCACTTTGTACTGGAACATGTGTAAGTCTTTCACTAAAATTCGCTGTAGGGTGCTGCCCGATTGCGTGGGCCGTCGTCTGGTTGATGTTACTTCATTATCAGTGTCATCAGCAGCCTAAGCTAGGATATTATCGGCCAAGCGACCAGTCCGGTGGTGTCTGGTTCCAGTCTGTTCGAGCCGAGCAGCTAAGGGCCAGAATGACGCTACACGATTAGGAATCGAGGTCGATATTCACGCTGCGCCAACACCACCGACCTATTATTGTTAAAAAAATCGATCCACGCTCACGCGAAGTAGCGCTCCATTGCTTGTCTGTTTGTATACTTCAGCTGTCTAGTTCACAAATGCGAAATCTGATTGACGTACGACGCTATTTGAAAAAAATGTACTTTTTGCTTCACTGGGACGATAAGATATTACAACTGTCTCTTAAATAAATTTTATTTCCTTAAGCTAATAAATTTAGAAGGATGAAACTCGATGATGTGGTCATGTGTATATTAGTCCTTAACATATAATATACTCAATAATTAATACTGGAAATTTTCACGGATGTTCAAGGACGAAATATTAAAAGGACATTTTCAATTCCTACCCGTTCTTATGCACCAAAAAAGAAATTATATTTATAATTCCACAGAATGCTCTCTCTTTTACTTGATAGCCATATTGTTATCTACATTGTACTACATTTTTTAAATAATTTTTCGAAATAATCGTAAATGTGAAAGAAGTTCTTTAAAAAAATCCTGATTTTAGAGAGAAAAACTAAAAATGCAATTGATGTTTGTGTGTGTAAAATTTATTGTCGCATAGTGTAGTAATGTGGGTATCAAATAAATGAGAACATTTTTAAGAAGTGAAAACCGTTAAAAGTTTTTTTTGGGGACGAATGGGTATTAACAATTTTCCCTTAAATAGTCTTTTGTTCCTAAACTAATACAGTTAGAATGACGAAATTCCTGGATATGGCGGTGTACCTAATAGTCCTTAATATATATTTTTTTCAGGACCAACTATTGGAAATTTTCAAGGCTATTTAAGGATAAAGTTTTAAAAGGATATTTGCAAATCGAATTTTTCCAATTCTATATATGTAAATTTGGCTTTTAGTTGATACCCATATTTTTCTTGATCAATGCATTGCATTTTTTTAAGAGTTTTTTAAATCAATCATATCTTTGATCAAAGCTCGTTTGAAAATAACTCTTGTGTCAAAGAGAAAAAGTAACAACGCCTTTTCATCCTATTTCATACCCAGCTTTGCAGGTATATTGACTTTGTTGTGTGTAAAATGGACTGCCGCACGGTTTTATCAGCGAAACTTGAAACGTCAAACTTACTTAAAATTTCTTAAAATTCTATAGTTTCAGGCAACAATTCAATCAATCAAAATGATGTTCAATCTCGTGCGCAAATATGTAAATTTACGCTAAATGAATTTGGTATTTTTGACCACCAACGCTGACTGTGATGATGCGAGAAAATTATGCTTTTGTCTTTATTTGTGCGAAAATTACACGAAACACACACGATATCTTGCTCAACACCTCCGCAAGCGATGCACGCTGTAGCCAAAAGCATAGAGACCACCAAGTGAAGTGTAGCGTGATAATAATACAAACTGTCTGCATTCAACATTTGGTAGTCGCTAAAGCAATAGTCATTTTACTTACGCGCTCACCTCAGCGCTGCCACAATTGCCTACGACTAAGAAAATCCGCATAATTATGTGTTTATTTGCGGCACGACATGTGCAACATTGTATGACTTTCAATACTTATTCCATGTTTATGCGCAATTAAAGCTTTCAAGTGTGCATGTGTGTGTGTGTGTGTTTGTGTTGTGCATAGATTTTATGCCTCTTTCATTTATTTGCGTATTAACGCCTGTTGAAGCGCTTTAATTAAATTTGCGAAATCGACATTTTAATAACCAAAAGTAAGCATAAATCTATCAACACTACAACTGCAGTACAATTGCCACATACATACATATGTACAAAAAGGCATGCGTGCACACACTGCCATACATTCAGGCTATATATGTTTAGCTATTCGCCATGCAAATGCACATGTATTTCGGTTAATTCTAATTTATTTGGCGTCAGCACTAGAACGCTTAAAAATCGCATGCAACAATGCACCTACAAACGTTCGGCTATTTTTTTTTTTTTTGTCTCATAAAATGCCACCAGGCAATTGACAGTTGTGTTGCAGCAACAATTTAGCATTTGCAATGCAAACTCTTACTTGCTTACTGCGCGACGTGCCAACTACCCACCGTTCATTCTGCGTTCTTTGCTACTAGCTATGTACTCGTATATCTACGCTTAAGTCTGTCCACTCAATGACTTTTACTGCATTCTATTCTAAACTCACTGCACTGCAAATCTTTCTGATCCGCCTGCCTGTTGGTCTATGGCACACGACATTTTTATGTCGACATTTGTGTTTCATTTCTGTTCAACAGTAGGTGAATTGTATGTACAAATCTATGTCTGTATGTATGTAGGTACATATGTTTTGTATGTACCAACATTTTGTGATTGTTTCGCTACGGCGGGATATGACTAATATGATTAATGTTGGCATTAGAATTAGAAGCTGTCATGCCAATAACGACATTTTACACAACTTTTGATTGATTTGCGTTAACTTTATGAAATGTGCCGTACTAGCTTGCAGACATTTGGTTTGTATGTATCTGTTAACGTGCATACATATGTTAAAACTAAATACTTAAGCGACAAACTTTTGCGCTGCTGCTGTGTGGATTTGTGTTTACAGTTTTAAAAACTGTAAATAAATGTTTGGTTTTTATTTTTATTTTGAATTTTTATGTTGAACTTTATTGGCTGCTGGTTGACAAGACGAATTGATTTTGAATTAGATTACGAAAGGCGTGTGAGTGATGGATTTACAATTGGACACCTTGCAAAAGTGAGTGGATTTGCGCGAATGCAAAGTAGAGCAGTATGTCGTGAAGAATATTTAACGGTTAAAAAGAATTTAAAATAAAATAAAAAAAGTTAGCCATATAGTTCTATTTGAATTTGTGTTTTTATGACTTGTGCATGCGTCCCTAAGGGTTTATTGAAAGCAAATAACTCACTAAAATACATATTTTTCTAACTATTTAGTAATTTTCAATTGTTGGTACAAATATTTGTCTACCTTTTTGGCGGAGTTCGTGAGTATTTTTGGCGTTATTGGCATTGCTCAAACGCAAGCGTTGGATATGCGAAATCCACGATGAACATAAATTCTGACATTTCACGCACTGGAAAAATTGGTTTTTATTGATATTTATAGAACTAAATACTTAAAGCATTGACCGTTAAATGTATTTGTGAGCTTTGTCATTTGAAAATAAACAATTTTTGTGTTCAAATCTAATTGCCGAAGAAATGAACCTAGTTTTGGATATATTTTTATACCCGTATTGGCTTTTGTTTAAGCTTAAAGGATTCATAGAAATTTGAAGCGGTATTCTGCAAGACACTGATATTGAAATATGAAGCACATATCGAGCTCTAACCGCCAGAAT